TGTATGTAAGTACACCATGTGCTTGCAAACCTGCGGAGGTCAGAATAAGACATTGGCTCCCCTAACTGCAGTTAACAGATGGTTGTTAGCTGTCATGTGGATACTGGAAACTGAACCTGGGTCCTCTGCAAGAGCAGTCAGTTCTCTTAACCACCAAGCCACCTCTCTAGCCCCTCCAGTAATTTCTTTTAAAAGACAAGGTCTCAGGTAGCTTAGCTTAGCCTCAAATTTACTATGTAGCCGTGGCCTTGAATTCTTGATCCTCCTACCTCTACCTCCCAAATGCAAGGATTACAAGCAGGCAGTATGACATCTAGTACCTTCTCCAATAACTTGGTCTGAGTTTAAGTACTGCCCTCCCTCCCTTCTTTCTCATTCATTCATTCATTCATCCATTCATTCACAGGGTCTCCCTATGTCATCCTAGCTGGCCTTAAACTCACAGAGATGCACCTGCCTCTGACTCCCAAGTGTTAGGCCACCATGCTCCATTGCCTTTATTTATTTAGTTTATTCTTGACAAAATATCTTTATAAATATAATAAAAGCTGTATATTCCATTTAAAGTACTGTTCCAAATAAAAAATCTAAAATGTGATACTTATCGCTTAAATCCACATATTTCTTAATTTCAAAATATACTGTTGAGAAAATATTTAATAAAGTACTTTGTGGCCGAGGATATGGTTCTGTGGTAGAACATTTGGCTAGTATACACAAGGCCCTAGACTCAATCCCTAAGACTGCCAAAAACAAAACAAAAAAACCCAAAATATTTTTAAATATTTTATTAATTATGACTAACACGCCTCCTCCCAGGAGCTGGTCTCTTCTCACCATTGATCTAAAAAGTGTAAAGCAGTGAATGACCTGGGAACACTCAGGACTGAGGCTGCTGGGGTGAGGATGACCCCCGCCTCTTTTAGCTCTTCTCTAATGTTTTACCTGTCTCTCTCTTCTCTGTTTTGACATTCTTTTGTTCTGTAATTTATTCATTTGTATTTAAAATTTTTTTGTACGATTGTTATGCCTGCATGTATATTAAGCACACCCACGTTGTGTGGTGCCCCGGGAGGCCAGAAGACTGCACCAGAGCCCCTGGAACTTATAGATGGTTGTTAGCCTCTGTGTGGGTGCTGGAAGTCAAACCTAGGTCTTCTGCAAGAGCAGCCAGTGCTCTTAGTGGCTGGCCCATCTCTCCAGCCCCAATGCACCTCGATATTTTTTTTTTATTTTATCATTTTTATTTTATGTGTACGTGTGTATTGCCTACATGTAGGTAAGTGCACCTGTGTAATGCAATGCCTGCAGAGGACAGAAGCGGCTGTTGGAGCCCCTGGAGCTAGAGTTATGGACAGTTGTTAGCTGCCATGTGGGTGCTGGGATTCAAACCCGGGTCTTCTGCAAGAACAGTGTTCTTAACCGCTGAGCCATCTCTCCAGCCCCTAAAAACCCCAAACAGTTTGCATCAAAACAGACATGGAATTTGAAAAAATATTGTTTCCTTGTGATTTTTAAAAAAAAATTTTTTTTTTTTTGAGATAAGGTTTTCTGTAGCTGGTCTTAAACTCCTAATTCTCCTGCCTCAGTCTCCCATGTGCTGGGATTACAGATGGTGTCAGTCATCATACCCAAATTGTTTTTTTGGTTTTGCAGACAGGGTCTCATGTAGCCCAGGCTAACCTTAAACTATGTAGCTGAGGATGATCCTAAAACCCTGATTCACTGGCCTCTGCCTCCTAAGTGCTAGGGTTGCACATGTGTGTCACTATGCCCTGTCAAAGAGAGCTATATATTGAGTTTCTGAGCAGCCCAGGCTACAGAGTAAGACTCCATCTCATAACAAATAAACAAACAAATAAAAACCCCAACCAAACCATCAAACTATATTGTACGAAAATTGCAAAAATTCAATGAATAAAAAAAAAAAGATCAAACCGAGCACGGTGGCGCATGCCTTTATTCCCAGCACTTGGGAGGCAGAGGCAAGTGGATCTTTGTGAGTTCCAGGCCAGCTGGGGCTCCAGGGAAACTCTGTCTCAAAAAGACAGACAAAAAATACAAACAAAAAAAAATCAACCAAGCCAGGTGTGGTGCACACCTTTAATCCCAGAGCTCAAAAGGCAGGAGGAAGAGACAAGTGGATCTCTGTGAGATCAAGGCCAACCTGGTCTACACAGTAGTTCCAGGCCAACTGGGGCTACAAGGAGACCCTGTCTCAAAAACATTAAAACAAACAAAAAAAAAACCAATCAACAAATAAACACATAAACCACCACATTTCCAAATACAATCATCTACCTACCTATATACTATTATTATCATATCTTTCAATGCTGTGGATCAAACTCAGGGCCTTGTACATACAATGCTAGGCAAGTTCTACTAGTAAGCTACATCCCCAGCCTCTCCACCTATGCATCACTGACTTACCTATTTCATTTTTGGTTTTTTTGAGACAGGTTTCCCTGTAGCCCCAGCTGGCCTGGAACTTACTATGTAGACCAGGCTGGCCTCGAACTCACAGAGATC